AAATATATAATATAATTAATAAATATAATCACATTAACAGTATAAACCTGCGGACGGAGAAACGAGGAAGCAGCGGCGAGCAGCGGCAGCGGCGAGCAGCGGCAGCGGCGAGCAGCGGCAGCGGCAGGCCTCGAGGGAGGCGCGAGCGGGAAGGCTCGCGGGAGGGCTCGAAGGAGGCGAGAGGGCTCGCGGGAGGCGCGAGCAGCGGGAGGGCTCGCGGAGGCGCGAGCAGCGGGAGGGCTCGAGGGAGGCGCGAGCAGCGGGAAGGCTCGCGGGAGGGCTCGCAGGAGACGCGAGCAGCGAGAGGGCTCGCGGGAGGCGCGAGCAGCAGGAGGGCTCGCAGGAGGCGCGAGCAGCGAGAGGGCTCGCGGGAGGCGCGAGCAGCGGGAAGGCTCGCGGGAGGCGCGAGCAGCGACAGCGAGCGACGAGATCGGGATCGGCAGCGGCAACAGGTTAGTGTTGGGTTAGGGTTAGGGTTGGGGTTATATTAGTTTAGTTGGTTCGATTGAACCAACTAACAACCGAACCAGGACTGAACCAGACCTAAAATTCTGGTTCGGTTTACCCAGGCGCTCGCCCGAAGCGCCCAGCGCCTGGGCTCGGGCGAGCGCCCAGGCGGCGCCTGATTGAAGCGCGCCGCCTGGGACATTAGCGAGGCGCTCGGGCCTCGCCTCGCCTCGCCCGAGCGCCTAGGCGAGCGCCCGAGCGCCGTTTGCAATCACTGCATGGTCCTAAATTTATGTGCTTGAAAAGTTATATATAACATCCACCAGGATCACCACCAAGACATAATATATAATTCTGAAAGAAAACTGATGCAGCTAACCCACCATATGGATACCTCAATGTAGATCAGCAGATCTTACAATAAACATGAGATAGGACCTGCTCAGGTAAAGAAATAAGAAGCAAACTTTTCGAATAGATCTTCTGATATTTCAATTTAACCATTGGTGTATCTCATGATGTTTGTGAAGAGTTAGTATATCATTGTAATATGCCATGTTCAAGTTCAAATAATTCCTGAAAACAATACAACTAAACTATTTTCCTTGCACCACTTCAAACAAATACTATTAAGCATGGTAAAGATCATAAAGAACTCTTTAAATCACTGAAATCTAAGGCTGATGGCTGCTCATTGAATCGCATGACATATACCTAGAATATACAGATCGAATTAGTAGAAACTACTAAGTGAACTAAGTCAAGCTGAGACGGCAAATTGCAATAGCAGGAGGGGATCGTATAGGTATGAAAATTTACTCTTACTAGTAGTACCAAGACGTAAAGCATGACGATAGAGTAAGACAACCTCAAGTAACCGCAGTCATTATTCACCCTATCCATCAAAGAAGCTTGTCAGACCATTAGAAATATCAAAATGGCTATTATGTAACTTGAATAATTCATATTTTGATACCACGAGAATGATCAAGGCCGCATTTGCCCTGTTATTGCTAAAAACTAGCTATCTTAACAATATTGGAACCCAGTTTTTGGATGCCTACTGACTTCACACTGAATCAACTTCATTAAGTTCTTCACTTAGAAGGAACCCACCATTAAGGGCACCACTCATGTTTGACTGCTCAATGTAACTGTTACTGTCAATGTCATAAGCCTTAGCAATTGCCACAGAGGAGAACAAAAAATAACATCAGAAAGAGAGAAGAATGTGTCTGCAATCTATTATTTATCAAAGAAATCTTCATAGTTCTTAAGTTCTTCATTTTCTTGATAGTTCTAGCAACACTAAACCATGATAAGAAACAACAAACAAGCCACCGAGGGACTGGGACACCCTGTTTCATTGACGAATGGGTCCCTGGTAGTGCATTCCATCAAAATGAGAAATAAAAACTACTACCAGAAAACATGATGCAGTGCAGAAGTCATAGGATTTTTCACCTCCTAACAAAGATAGCCTCCAAAAGAGATACTAAGAGAAATGAGAAAAATAAGGAGAAGGAAGAAGAGAAGCCAAGAAGAAAAAGACGAGAGGAGAGAAATTTAGAGAGAAACTAGAAAGGTAATAGAATACACAACTATAGTACTGGTCTGAGTTGATACCTTAATTGCTTAAAATAACCTTTGTATATAGGATCTCATCCATTGCCTCTCCTATTTCAAAACAGAGTAGGACTTACCATGATACATTATCTTGTATCCCCACAATATCTCCTCATTACAGAACTCTGTAACTCTCCAAATATAATCATAAATAGGAGAATAACTATGCTAATCTATTGTACATTGTACATGGGGTTTTGGACTTTAGTTTGATTCTGAATATGACTCTACAGACTTTCCAAAGTACCTCTTGAAATAAGAACAATAATACAATATATTCCTTCTGTCAAAGAAGGTCAATCCTAATAAAAGTAGCCATAGCCCCAATTAACCTTGACTTGAATGTGGCCTAGTTCATTCTCCTTCCGTCTCAATCAAGATATATCACCCAAATGAGAAAGGTAATGTTGTTGTATCCTATTATAAATAGTATTGGGACATATTGTTATATCAAGACTATATTGTTATCAAATCAGAAGAATAGTTGGATAAAGTGATAATGAAAAATCACCATGTCATTAGGTGTCGACTGTATGCTAGATTCTAATGGGGCAACGAGACCATAAATGGATCCGCCCTGATTATGTCAGGCCTAACAAAGATCAAAGTCGGGCCAACTTGGTTATCAGGTCCCAGCTTTTGCAAAATATTTTGGGCAAACTTTTGATATGGGGATAATATCATTTATGCTTAGGAAGGGATCTTCTGATTGCCCGATTCAAATATAAAGATCAAGATATCATCATAAGTATATTTGTGAAGCTCATATTACTTGTGTAACACTCCCAAGTCTAGTCTCATGCCGGACGAAAACTTGAATTGACTTGTGATCTAGCATTTTGAACCAGTGGTTCAAGCTCAACAGAGTTACTAAGTCAGCTATCACATTCGGTCAGGTTGCGGCCACTTATCTAAATGATCCCTCATGGACCTTCAATATGATCCAACCATGAAGGTTATAAGCCAAAACAAGAGTTCTATGACCCCAAAAATAATCTTAGATCAGTAGGGCTTTCATCATAAAAATTTCCCACCCCTCAAAGTCTTTAAGAAAGGATGATATTGATGACAGGTAGTATCTAAGTTACAATTAATGATGTAATACAAAACTTTACTATCCTTGAACACTAAAGGTCATCAAGCAAAAAGCACACAGTAAACAGTTATCTACAAACTGTTGCCATAACATACCCAAATAATTTTCCTTTTACAACAAAGTAAAATAATAGAGAGAAAAAGGTGTATACTCCTTGTCACTAATGAAATTTAGAATAATTTAGCCTGCATGATTATTATGTTATCATAAGCTAGTATAATTTTGAACAGATAAGTAAAAAAGTGAAGAAGATAAAATTCTTATCTAATTCCTTTTAAAAATATTTTTTATTGCATTAAATATCGTACAAGACACTCTCACATGGACTCAATGGTGAGACTTAACAATTGTGCACTAACCATTAGAATGTCTCATCAGAGACTCTTATCTGATTCCTTGACATTAGTACAGATTATAAGAAATTTCATGGGCATGTAAACTTGATAAGGTCGTATCAAGAATGAGTAGCAGATCTACAAACATGGTAATGTGGCTAACTGATGCCCTCGTAGTATATTCTAACTTTCTTTCTTTTGGTGCATTTCTTTCTCCATAAGATCCGGAATTTGACATCAAGAAGGCCAATGAAAAAAAATAGCAGCCTTCAATCATGTTACTAATTATTCTTTAATGGGTATTTTGCCAAGAGTTTAATAAGTTTAGTTCTTACACATTCTTTCAAACAATCATCAGTTTTCCAAATTATATTTCACACGATGAAGGAAAATAATTCACAATTAGATACAATAAGTAACTTTTTTGTTAAACCTCGAGTGATAAGATTTCCCAAGTATCTTAAACCAAAGCATTCTATATCAATATGTCTTCAAACTTAATATTTTCATATATACGTTTCCTTCTGCTTAGGGTTTCTTGGGATGTAGAAATTCAAGTTTCCTGCTACCAACTAATTCATGATATGAAGATATATGGACGGAAGATTGAAAAGAAAATTTTGTACAGAATATTTGACATGAAGAAACAAATAAAGAGGCAAATGGAGATTTGCTTCCCCAATATATCGAACTGTCAAGTACCAATGAACGTGACAAGGCCTTCGCACATCAGGAATGCAATCGTGCCACATTACCGAAACAAAGAAACAGTATTCGAATCTCTAACTCAACTTACAACACAGCAACTTCAGAAAAGAACAATGTTCGCACATCTGTCTTCAAAACTGATACCAAAATCAACGGATTAACAAGACCTTCATACTACCATCCGAAACCTATTGAATGAGAATCAAGCACCCAAGAAAGGCAGGAAGATAAAAGAGAATCGAAAGAACAACTGGCTCATCAAGAGATCGAAAGCAACCGATAAAAAATTTCCGCACGGAGACTTGAAATCTGTAGGGCAGTAGCAAGGAAGGTCAAGAGGAACAGAAGACTCACGACGTGATCGTAAAGCCTGGGATCCAAGTCCATCACCGCCGCCACCTATGAGGAGGAAGGAGACGAAAGCGAGGAAGAAGAGGAGGGGGGAGGGGGGGGGAGGATTAGTTCTTCTCGGCCGTGGAAATGAGGCGCAATGTCGCATCATCACCTTGTCCCCGCGATACAAAGGGTTGGGGCGCCGCTCGTGTGGCTCGCTCACACGCTTAGCCCGGCTGTGAAATCTTTCCAGATCTTACGTTTCAACTGTAGTTTCACATATGGTAATTATCTTTTAATTTTTTTTATTTATATGATAAATTATTTGGATAATTTGCCAAAAAAAATCTTCTCGTAATCATTTTTATGCTCCTCTATTAAAAAATTATTAAATCATTTTTTATAAATACATATACTGAAAAAAATAGATAATTAAGAGAATTGATTAAAAATATATATAATTAAATTTTAAATTTTAAATTTTAAAAAAATAATATATTTTTTTAATAGAAGAGTGCTTTTTAGTAAAATAAATGATTCGAGGATTTTTTTTATAAATTACCAAATTATTATCAATTTATTTTTATTGTAAAAAGAATGCTACATTTTTGTTATTTGTGATAGCGTGAGGCATGGTTGAGTTTTTAATTTCTTACCAGCGTAGAACTTTTCTTTTTTTTTCATATATATAAAAACATATGGAATAAGAATTGGAAAAGAATATGGAATTAAAAATATGATATAACGTAAAATTTTGACTTTTGGAAATTTAAGTGCTTGTTTGTTTTGTGTTTCCATCCTTTCCAAACTATCCATTGCCTTTTCTTTTTCTTAGATTGCTAAAGATTACTACAGGATATGTTTAAGGAGATTGATGTCAATTATTTGTTATAAATTTATTTATTAACTTAGTCGTTTTTAATATTTTTGTTAATTATTTTTTGTCACGTGATTTACAGAAAATATAAAACAAGGTTTAAATTACACTTTGTCCAGATAATATTGTATACTAAAATAATTATAACCAAAGTGTGATACGGATTAATTACATATTAAATAATATAATTAATTATCCTTAATAAATTATTTGATTACGATTGCATTTACAACCCGATATGAATCGCTTCTTGGATGACATGGCAAGAGTTGTCACGCAAATGTCGTGAAAAGTGAGTGCCACGTTACGAGTCCATTGGTTCTATCGACTTGTATACACGTTGACAAGATATATAAAAGGAATCCAACTACTTGACTTCATTTAATTCACGTATTTACTCCTCGATTCATCGACTTGTTTTTGCCTTCGTCGTCATTTTCTAACTCCAACTCTACTCAATTATTAGAGGGAGGAGAAGTATCCTTTTCCCTTTCAATCGTAATCCAAATAGTAAACAACTGTGTGCATGACTCGACGTCCTACATTAGTCGAATGATCCAAGCGAGCTTTCTCAATTAGCATTAAGTGGATACATCTTTAGAAATGAGGAATTATGAAGTAATTTTAATCAAAAACATTAAAAAAAAATTGCCTCTATTGCTTCGTACAAAGAGTGGTTAGATAATTCTTTGACTTAATCTACAATATCTTGGCTAATTATTTAGTTACCTACATTTAGTATTTTAATCCATACATTTTAAAAAAATATATTTGTATCCCTAAAATTACTATTATATAAAAGTAAAATATCTATGTTTATTTACCTTAAGTAGATTTTTGTAACGAAAACATAAAAATAAAAAATAAAATTATAATTTTAATGTTGTAAATGATGGTGGCGAACAATTGTATTGTTAGGGCCACGAGTGACTGTTATGGATAATAAGAGCGACAACGAGAGGTGAGGGCCACTCTACATCTGCGTTAACATCGGCATAATGATCGAACAACCCTTTTGTTACTCGGTATCTATATCAGCGTCGACGTGGATGTAGAGAAATGAAAGGCTCGTTTGATAAATATATCAGTGTTGATGTAAATGCAGAGCGATCCTTACTTATTGTCATCGCTCTCCTCCTTCACAACAACCACTCACGATTCTAACAATGTCATCGTTCGGTACCACTAATTAGAATATTAAAATTATATTTTTTATCTTTTATTTTCGTATTTTTATTAGTAAAATTGATGACGTTATGACAAATATATATGGATGTTTCACTATTGATGTTAATGTAAATTTTAAAATATAGAAACTAAGATGCTAAATGTAGCTAATTACATAGGTTAATATGTAATTAGCCCACAATATCTTATGTATAGCTTTTCTTCGATAAAATACCAGTTAACAGATAGTTGATAAAAAACAATTTATTAGATAAAAATAAAAATATATAATATAAGATATTTTATCTAACAACATCACACTTTTTTTTTTGTTTCCTTACTACTTCCATAAAAATACCATCGGTCAAATCTTTAAAAGTTATTATTATTTATAATATTTTTATTACAGTTAAGGTCTATTTTAACTCTTTTTGTTTTCGTGATAGTCCACTTAAGTCCTTATGGTTTACTTGTATTTAAAATAATTTATATATTTTAAAAAACATAGCATATAAACCTCTTTCATTAAGTTTGAGTTAATAGACGTTAAAGTCTACTTACGTGATATGATGACTTACAATAAATCATTAATATAAAGACACGTATAATTTAAGTTTAAAAAATGATTACGGTCTATTTTAGCCTTTGTGATTTTTGTCATGACTTAAGTCCTTATGGTTCACTCATGTTTAAAATAACCTCTACATTTAAAAAAAGATAACATATAAGCCTCTTTCGTCAAGTCTGAATTAATAGATATTAGAATTTACTTACGTGGTATACTGACTCACAATAAACCATTAATATAATGATAAATATAATTTAAATTAAAAAAAAGGTTAAGATCCATCTATTGAGGAAGCGACAGACGAAGACAAAGAGATAGGGGCAGGAGAGGCTGGAGGCGGAAGTGAGTGAGAGTTGGACCACCACGTTATAGGGGTGGCGGGTGAGGGTGTAGGAGAGGATTAGGAGACCATTGCGTGCACAACGTCAAATCAGTCGACACACATCCACCCGAGATAGGACAGAAAGCTCTTGAGCTCGTTGTTAGCAATGGAAAGACTACATGTATATGATACTTTGCTAGGTAGAAATGGCTCAATGCTGTGTGGTCGCTTCCATGACGATGTCTCATCTCGTCATTGATGGTAATCTCAATTATTTTAAAACTTAAATTATATATTATTATATTAAATAATTTATTATGAGCCAACATGCTACGTAAGTAAACTCTAACATTTATTAACTCAGACTTGACGGAAGAGACATATATACTATGTTTTTTTAAATATATAAATTATTTTAAATATAAATAAATCATTAGGGTTTAAGTGGTTTATGATCAAAATCATAATAGTTAAAATGAATCTTTAACTTGTTTTTTTACTTAAATTATATATATTATTATATTAATAATTTATTATGAGTTATGTTATGTAAAAAAAAAAGAAAAAAATAATTTAGATATGAATAAATTATAAAATAAACCTTTTTAGCCCTAAAATGTATTCTTGTTTACCTCGCTTCGAACATAACTATTATGTCAGCGATTAGTTCCCACAGTCACCTTTTTCATGGAATTGACCTAAGAACCTGGAACGATTGATTGGCAGCACGGAAAGAGACAATGGCTTTTGTGGTGCTGATCAGGCGGCATCTCTGTAGATCTTGAGGCCGCGCCGTGAGGGCAGAGAGCTCCTCGTAAAACCCTCGACCGATTGCCCTCTCGTCTGTTGTGTTCTCTTCGATCATTCTTCTTCTGCATTTTACGGGTGAGTTTCGACGAAGCTTTGACGAATCGTGCATATTCTTGTCTGTGTTCATGTTGCTGGTTCGGATTTTTCATCTAATGTGGTTGTATGTCATGATCTAATGTTTGGTCTGTCTTGCTTTCTGTTGTTGTTTGAGTTTGAAGACCACGATTTGGACAGCTACCCCAAATGGGGTAAATGTTCTAAGCACATTACCTAATCACTGTGAGAGTCCACTATTTCTCTCTCTGTTTTGGTTTTCTTTCTGTTGTCATTTGGACAGCTACCCCAAATGTGGTAAATGTTCTGAGCACATTACCGAATCACTGCGAGAGACCACGACGAACGACGGCGACGACGTTCTGAGCACATTACCTGTTCTGTTGTCGGGCGACGACGTCTTCCTCTCCGTCGGCGAACGGCGGCATCTTCCTTCGGCGAGAGGCTTCCGTGCGATCTCCGGCGGGCTGTTATTCGGTAACTCTATCTCGTTCTCTCTTCTCCTTCGTCATCGCCCTCCTCCCCCTCCCCCGGACCCCGACGGAACCCCTCTCCTTCCTCCTCCGCCGTAGCCGCGTCCCCCTGAGTTCCCCCTCCTTAGCTGTCCCCCGAGTTGTTTCCGTGGGGAACGTTCTCTTTCCCCATCTCGGATATTTGGTCCCCCACACAACCGGTTCTTTGTCCGCCCTCAGTAAAATGTTGCATATGGATTCCCACTCTGTGCGATTCTATTTTTGTTTTTTATCCTCTGATTGCTCGGCTTGCTCCTCCTCCCTGCTCTCGGATCCTGGCAGCCCCTTCTCCTTCCTCCTCCTCCTCCTCCTCCCTCTTCCCCTCCTAACCGACAGAAACCCCTCCCATACTCCAACAGCTCCCTCTCCCTCCTCCGCCTTCTACTCCTCCTCCCTGCTTCCCTTCCAACCGACAGCAACCCACCTCTCACATACCCCGACAGCCCCCTCTCCTCCTCCAACGAGAGCTCCTTCCTTCCCTCCCAACTGACTGCAACCCCCTCTCCCTCCTCCGCCACCTATGTTCTTTTTTTCTTTTTTGTTAATATAGCATGTGAATTTTGTAAATGATTGAATTTGTCATTGGCTCCTTGCTACTTCATAGTTTTGTCACTTTTGTCATTATATTTGGATAATATAATTTATTACTTTAAATGAATCTAATTTGATGTATTATTTTTATTTTAGTTATCATATTTATTAATAATGATATACAATTTTAAAATTTTAATATCCAGGGCACCTCGGTGCACTTGGGCGATCGCTAGCAACTCAGGTGTTTTGGCACCTTGGCACCAATTAGTTCCTAGCATCTTTGACTACACTTGACTACACTGGTAATATTATGTCTTGACCATTGA